GTCAGCTCGGCCCGGCCGCGATCCGGGTCAGCTCGGCCCGACCGCGACTCTGTCGCCTTGGTTCGGCCAGGCCTATTTGCAGGGGCTGGCCTGTAGCTTGAACTCCAACTGCCCCTATGTTGATCCGGCCCTTACTTTAAACTATGTTTACCCAAAGCCCATTTTTGTAAATTTCCCTTACTTATATAAAGCTGACACATTGCACAATGCTTTACAGAATACAACTGTCCTCTGCAGGAACTCACAATCTAATGTCCCAACCACACAATTTTGGGAGTCAGACAACTAACCTTCTAGTATTCTTCTTTTTGTGTTTAGGTGCATTTTAAACATTTTTGTCCAGGTTCACCAATGCCTGTGCACGATTCATTCAATATAATTTGGATACCATATGCCACGGCTGGTGATTTTCATATTATCTATTTGTTTTGTGTTATGTGTACATAATAGTATGCCACCATCCTTTCTGTACACTCAGCCCACAAAGCCAGCCCACTCAGGCATAGCGGAAGATGCAGGGTGGGTCACAGCCAGGTGGCAGCCGTCATTATCATGATAGAGACTTGCTGAAGTTGCTGTGCACAGTGAGAATAGATGGGAATTACATGGCAGCGGGCGGAACAATCAATGAAGGAGGCCGGGATGACATTGAGAAGTAGAAATGACAAATAGAAATGGCAGACTCCCCCACGAGGTACTTTTTAATAAAAGTTTCCCCCACATACTCTGGGCCCACCCCAGATCCTCTGGTCTTTCAGCAGGCCAGTCTGCCCCTGATTAAACCAAAGCTTCAGCTACCAAATTCTTACGTGCCACTGCCCTCATGTAACTGTGGTGGCCAGTTGTGTGATGTCAGGTCCAAGTATTCAGATCCTCTCTCACATCTGCTTTCCCCTCATTTACTGTTCACACAGAAAGTGATGGGGAATCTCTTCAGCAGGGACACAGACAACAGTCAGTTTTAGTAGCATGATTTTATTGCTGTGTGTCCCTTCCTCTTCTGCTGACAACTGTACTCCCATTTGTTGTTCGGATGTCACAGAGACAGGAAATAGTAGAAGAATCTTCCCAATGGGCGTCACAAACAAAAATAAAAGGTTTTGAAAATGTTAACTCTTCCCAATATATTCAAAACTAGAAACTATTTTGGCTATTGGGCTCTCATGATAATTGAAATGCTTTTTTCTGCAGTGCTAATTTTTCTACAGTAAATGGTGGCTACGGGATGCAAGCTGTGCCTTAATCCTCCATAGCGGACACAGAGACCAGTGAAAGTTTCTATTAGTTTTCTTTCCTTACAACAATTTAAATACTAAGCTACTTTTGTGTACCAAGCATGTTTTGCTGTGAACTATTTTTGAATTATACTTGGAGTACCTCTGAGAGATCTTTCTTAAGGGAGAATTATGGGGTTAAGGATTTTCCCCATAGTTCTCCTTAGGGTAACGGGAGGACACAAACTAGCGTCCTCCCGTCACCCTAAGCTCAGTATACCACGAGCTACATTTTGTGGTATACTGAGACGCCACAGTATACCGCGAGCTACTGCCACAGTATACCACGAGTTAAATATAAAAAAAGTAAACCCCCCCCGCCCCCAAAATGTTTAACTCCCCCACCCCCACGTTTACGCGCCTATAAACGTAAATACGCGTCCGGTGCCCCAGCGCGCAAAAATTACAATTGCGCTACACATGTTACATATCGCCGCGAACGTCGCAGTGAGAGCAATCATTTTAGGGCCATCAATCACTGATAA